TATATAATGTTCTAGAACACATGTGGCCCGCCATGTCATTTTATATGGCCCCCTCAGCATTTTCAATACATAAAATCAGTTATTTAACAATATGAGGTGTTTAATTTATTTTTAACATTGTATTTTTATACATTGATGCTAGGGGTGCCCAAGTCTAGTTTTCCAGAGCTACCATTCTGCAACTTTAGATGCATTCCTTCTCTAACACACCTGGACCATTGACTCATTATAAGCCTCTTCAGACCTGAATGAGGGAAGTCAACCTTTTGTCTGGGGTGTGTTTTAGCAGGGATGCCCTCCTGATTTATACCGTCAATGTGACCCGTTGAGGGTGGCCAATATGCTGAAGTGGCCCTCGGTGAAATTGAGTTTGACACCCCTGCCTTAGAGTTAAAGTAAAGACTGTGTCTTTAAGGAGGGCTAAAAGGGAGAAAATTAAATAAATAAATTGTTAATTAAATGTTTAAATAATTTACATAATAGACAATTAATGTATTAAATATCATTAAATGCAAAGGTTTGCATTAACGGGATGGTTAGGTGTTCCAACAATTCTGCCAACAAGTTTTATTTAAGATTTGACTTTATTTCCCACTGAAACAATGTTCTAAAATTAAAGGTTGGATTTTAAAATATGAATATGAGGCCAAACTACATATCCATATTTTATGTAGTTTATGTTGCAATCTCTAAGATGTGCATCTTAAAGATTTTTGCACATCTGTACAATCGCTGACAACAAATACAGGCTTTGTATTTGTTGTCAGCTAAATATACAGTATGTGTTCTCTTTTATTTCTCGGTCATTAAGTGTCAAGTTTAGCTGCAGTGATGCAGCCTCACTTACAATGGAAAGTAAATAGTTTTCTGCAACTTTTGCCGAGGTGACAGTGCCGTCTAAACAGTCAAACCACGGAGTGGGTTGCAAAAATGATAAGCAGTTAACAAGATATTCAAACTGCTGTGGCACAGAATGGTTTCTGTAAAACTGTGCACAACTATGCACTTAGTCATTTTTCTCACTATTTGAAATTGCTGGTTTGAAGCCAAACAATTGTAGAAATGGTATTAAATCTGATAAGAAATGTCACATAAATCTGCCCACTTCCAGTTTTTACTCTAACCTCCTTGTTGGACTTTCTCTTTTCAGTGATGGCTGGGCAGACAGGTATGATGTCACTGATGGCTATCAAATGGAGGCTGCCGGTGGGATCACCATCAAGCTAAAGTCAGCACATGTGAACTGGTTTGATGATTATTATCTGAACTTGAAGCCTGATTCCAACCTGAGGAACCCCTGGTTTCCTGAATTCTGGCAGCACCGTTTCCAGTGTCGCCTGAGAGGGCATCCACAGGAGAGCCCAAAGTACAACCGCACTTGCAGCTGTTAGTATAAAAAAAAAAACATGCTCCCTGCACCCACATTGAACACTTTCAGTCTGTCAACGACGGCATAAAATTAAGTTGTTTTTTTGGTAATGTTCATTTTTGTTTGCCACAGGGAGAGAATCTCTACGACACCAGTATGCCCAAGATACAAAAATGGGTTTTGTCATAAATGCCATTTACTCAATGGCTTATGGTCTGCATGCCATGCAGCAAACTCTCTGTCCAGGATATAAAGTATGAGCCTCAAAATTGTGCTTATCCAGATTCCTTTACTTCTGATGGCGATAACATTTACTGCATAATTGTTCTGTTTTTCAAAGGGTTTGTGTGAAAACATGCGACCCATAGATGGCCGCAAGCTGCTGGATTACCTAATGAGAACCAACTTTACTGGTGTATCTGGAGAGATCATCCACTTTGACCAGAATGGAGACTCCCCTGGCAGGTACGGACTCTGATGAAGACCAAAGAAAGGAGACGATATGCACAGTGTTAAACTATACACTGAAAATGTAGTTTGATGTGTGCTACAGGTATGAAATCATGAACTTCAAGCAGATCGGAGTGGGTCAGTACGCTTACATCCACGTGGGAAGTTGGGATCAGGGGGGTCTGAAGATGAATGATGAGGAAATATGGAGCAACAGCAGTGAAATCATCCAATCAGTCTGCTCTGAGCCCTGCCAAAAGGCTCAGATCAAGGTGGGATTTCAAATTTAATTCAGTTCAGTTAAGTTTGAAGTGACAATTCATTCAATTTACAATAGAGATGCTATGCAAGGTTTTTAGGATGCTTAAATTTAGATATCTGTCAATACCAATATTCATTCTAAATTCAGAGTGCTGAGAGAAGGGGTGTACAGCAGAAGTCGTCAACTCTTGGATTTTATTATTGAAAATGTAAATAAAATTGTCTCAAGAGAGGCATCTGGATCGTTGGGTGGATCTGAGGCCTCAGCCTGAATGGCATCAGTTTTGGGGTTGATACAGATATTGCATCCAACGCTATCCAATACTATCCATCAAAGTCTTTGATTTAGAAAGTTTGTGTCCCAATGTTTTGTACCATTTTTATACAGTCCTTACTTATCTATATTTATTTCATTTACATACTTAAAATGAATTAATTTCATGGTTTGCACATTACTAAGTTGCATTTTGTCACCAGGCTTTATAAAGTATACCTCTAAACACATTGCAACTTTCCTGTCCCCTATTCCGCCTCTGCTTCTTCACACATGGGACCCAAGTGTTACAAAGGCTCATATGTTTCAAGTCGTGTGTTAAGCAAAAGGAGTTTGAAGTAGCAGTTCCCGGTAGGATATTAACTACACCTCTGCATAATATCCACGATAGATAACAACCCTTGTTGTCAGGAAACCTGTGAAGTCCAACCCACACACCAGATTTAAATTAATCCCAGATGTTCACTGCTAATCATGACGATAATAAAATATCTTACAAGAGATGCAGCTCGTGCCATTGTTCAGGATTTAATCAACTCCAGTCTATCTTTATTTAGCTTCATCCTATTTGTGCTGAGGGGAACCGTTGTCCTCCTCTGTGTCATCGCACAGTTTTCCAACATTAATCAGTTGCTAGTATCTAATGCACCCTAATTGAAATTAAATACTGAACATCAAAAAGATCCTAACCTGGTCTGAACTTCCTTCCCCAAACCAAATTCCTGTTTTTCTGTCAAATCCAAACAACCGGGCCTCATTTTCTTTCTTCAACAACTTTGTGTTGCTGATAACTGGACTGGTGACTTATATATATAAAAAACGAATCTCTTTCAGTCTTTCACACATCTATTTTTCAGTTACTGCACCCATTCCTTTTTTCAGCCAAGAATTTATTATTGTCACTCTGACAGTGTGCATTTTAGCATGCTTGCCAGAGGAGAAAATATTAAGCTTTTTAGCTGCCATAAATGAACAGTGCCTTGAAAAATGACATGGAATATAACTCCATGACATTGTACATGCTTTTGTCTTTGTTTCCCATGACGAACACATTTTAATTTACTCGTCCTTCAGAGAAGTCAGAGTGTAAGATTAGCTACAGAAAAGTGCCGTTGGAGCTTTGAGACCTTTCCACCTTTCTCTCAGCTCTGTGTCTCTGTGTGAATGTGTTTCCAGGTGATCCGTAAAGGAGAAGTCAGCTGCTGTTGGACTTGTACTCCCTGCAAGGAGAACGAATTCGTCTTTGATGAGTACACTTGTCGAGCCTGTATCCTGGGCTCCTGGCCTACAGACGACCTTACTGGTAAGCATTTTATCTCTCACACAAGATATTCAAACAAGACATAAGAGGAACTATCACGTCTGGTTTGCAGAGGGTTGATCATCGTTAAAAATCCCACTTCAGATGTTTTCTATCCTGTTCTCAAACACTCCCTTACAGACAGCTATATGCAAAGCACATGGTGAGTAGCACAAAATGACTTACCGCTGTACAAATCAGCCAAATGCTACATACCCAAAGACAGTTCAATGGCTTTGCTCTTTTCTTATCTAGAGTTTACACTGCTAGATCTATTTTTTACCATAGCTCTTTTTTTTAATCACTTCACATTCAAACAAATAATGATACGTTTATTGTTGTATAGTTTGTATAATTTCACATATATCATTATATGTTCCAATCCTTCTCTTCAGGTTGTGCACCAATTCCGGTCCAGTATGTGCGATGGGGGGATCCAGAGCCAATTGCAGCTGTAGTCTTTGCCTGTCTGGGACTCATGGCTACTCTTTTTGTCACTTCTGTCTTCATCAAGTAATTAAATGGATACATTTCTTACATGTAATGCATATTCTGATTCAAAACCGCATGGTCAAAATGAGGACAACTCTGTGAATAGTTGGTGTAACTTGGTGTAATTTCAGTTCAGTATAGATCTTGTTAGGTATTTATTTTATGGTGGTAATAATACAATTATTTAGATATATTTATGTTAGAGTGGTCCAGTCAAAGTACAGATCTAAATCCAAATGAGAATCTGTTGCACGACTTAAAAGTTATGTTTTCAAATGCTTCCCATCTATGTTTGATTTAGCTAACTCTATTTTGCAAAGACGTATCTGAAAAAATATCAGTAACTAGATGTGTACAGCTGGCAGAGACAAACCCCAAAAGACTATCATATGTAACTGTAGTGAAATCTGCTTTTCCACAAAGTCTTGATCCAAGAGGACTGAAAAACTGCATGCCACACTTTGTAGATTATTTGCACACAAAAAATAACTTTGAAAAGCATGTATCATTTCCCTTTCATTTCACAGTTATCATCACTTCTGTGCTGGTCTGTCACATAAAATACATTGAAGTTTGTTTTTCTTTTTTTTTTTTTTTTTGAATATAGGTTTTGGGACACTCCTGTGGTGAAGTCATCTAGTCGGGAGCTTTGCTACATAATTCTTGCCGGAATATGTCTGGGCTACCTGTGCACCTTTAGCCTAATTGCCAAGCCACACATTGTCTACTGCTACTTACAGCGGCTGGGGATCGGCCTGTCCCCTGCCATGAGCTACTCAGCCTTAGTTACCAAGGTACTCTCATTTGCAAAATGAAGTTAGTCATTCATTCCTGTCACTTCCTATGAAACACTGAGATAGAGCTTTATTACTTGTTGTTCATTTGCATAATCTGATGTCACATTTTTACATAACACCATAAAATGCACAACAGTTTGACACTTTTTTTTTATCAAGCTGATTTGAATTGAAGTACTGTATTTGAAAGATAAATATGAGTCTGTTTATTTTTTTATATCCATATTTTACATAAGAGACTTACATCAAAAGGTTTTCCTATTTGCATTTAAAATAAAATTAACTGCAGAGCATGCATCCACAATGTGATATTTTGTTTGTTCATATGCATGTAAGGTTTTTAGCAGCAAACACAACATAGCTGAGCTTCAGAGCCTGGCGCACCGCCAGTTATAAGTGAGACAAAAATTAAAAATCTTAGCGTGGGCTGAGGCTGATATTCCAGGTCAAGGAAAATGATTATTCACACAAATCACCGTGAGAAGTGTTATCTTCGTTCAGTCTAACTGAAACACCCAAATTCATTTTGATCTATTTTTAATTCAGACCAACCGCATAGCACGCATCCTGGCAGGGAGCAAGAAGAAGATCTGCACCAAGAAACCGCGTTTTATGTCCGCCTGCGCACAATTGGTCATCGCCTTCCTACTCATACTGCTGCAGCTGGGGATTATTGTGGCACTTCTTATCATAGAGCCACCAGAGGTACGTATGTATATCTGTGATTCCAAAATACTGGATGATATTATTGGAGCTTTATTCAAATAAACAGAGAAACATCTTTGCTTCGTTCTCGTAGGTGATCTATGATTACCCCAGTATCCGTGAGGTGCATTTGATCTGCAATTTGACCACTTTGGGAGTGGTGGCGCCACTGGGTTACAATGGCCTGCTTATACTCAGCTGCACCTTTTATGCCTTCAAGGTACTTCAGGAATACATCAGTTTGTTTCTCACTGATCTTCCAATGCAGCTTGGTGACTGTTTTCATTTCCTTATTTATGTTTTTATCTAAACGTACCTCGCATAAGAATTTTTGCTTTCCTTTTTTTTTCCCCCAAACTTTTTAATGTTGTTACCTCAGTTAATGGTATAAGAACTTTACATCATAGATTGATACAAAGTACTCCAAAACTGTTCAATGTAAGGACAAGTTTGTGTGGGTTTCATAAAAATTTAACAATTGCATTGTACATTTGTGTTTATTTCATGTAATGGGTATCACACTTTTGAGTTTCATTCAAAAGAGTCTAGAAGGCCATGTGTCCTTTTACTTCCAAATCATGCATTACAAAAAAACTTTGTTAAAGTTTGTGCAACATGTGAAAAAAATAGGTATTGTAACTTGCACTGCTCTAAATTTCTATTTGTCTTTTGCTCCTGCAGACTCGCAACGTGCCAGCTAATTTCAACGAGGCCAAGTACATTGCCTTTACCATGTACACCACCTGTATTATCTGGCTGGCCTTTGTGCCCATTTACTTCGGCTCTAATTACAAGATCATAACTATGTGCTTTAGCGTGAGCCTCAGTGCCACAGTGGCTCTCTGCTGCATGTTTGTCCCTAAAGTAAGAAACAAGCACAAAACCCATATTTTCTGCTTTGAGAGCTACGCTTCTATATTTACCTTTCTACGCTAATTGTTACATGTTGCTGTTTTTATACTGTCAGGTGTACATCATGCTCGCCAAGCCTGAGAAGAATGTGCGCAGCGCGTTCACCACTTCCACCGTGGTGCGGATGCACGTTGGCGATGCCAAGAAAGCTGCCAAGGCTGGCAAGTCATCCAGCAGCATGGCCAACCTGTTTCGACGTGGTGGATCAACACAGGATAACATAAGGTAGCTAAAGACCAGAATATGCTGTTGAAGATGGACAGTAGATACAACATAGACGTGATCAACAAGTGTGGTGTTTTGGCCTTTAAAAGGTTCCTGTTCTTGGTGTCTGCCTTAGAAATGAATGGTTTTGCCATTTGAGGAAAAGCATCTGAGGCAGATATTACTCTCGACCTCTACACAAATTTAATAGTACACTTTTTGTCTATCAACTTTCAATAGTGGCAGCTGTTACATTGATTTACTTCACATCTTCAAATTCTGGTTTAAATTTGGTTAAAGAAAAACATAGTTTGAGTCCCTCATTGTTGTAGGAATTATAGATTTTTTGTCATATCCTCCCAAAGTTCTGGTTGGTCACAGAATTCTCTCTCTCTCGATGCTAAAATTTCAGAGAATGCCCTTGTGAAGAGAAAAGCCATCATATCTACTTGTCATGGACAATGAATCTGTGAACAGCCCTGTTCTCAGTCCTACCACTTCAGCAGAGACTTGATGTAATGTTCCAAGCTGCAAAATGTGTGAAAGTCAGGTGGGAAGAGACAAAGCAGAGCGGACAGACTGCCAACATCAAAAAGAAACAGACCTTAACATTTAAACACCTTGCAGTCTTATTTAAAAAATCTAATTGATTTTTTTTTTTTTTTTTTTACCTAAAAGTTTAGCTGGCCTTGGATTTTTACACAGTGGCACATCGTATGAAGATTTATTTATGAACGTGTACAAAGTTGTTCAATTTTTAATTTTCCACACTGAAGACCTCAAATTGCAACAGGCTGCATTTGAAGCTAAGAAAAACAGCTCCCTAAGCTGAGAACAGCCTACCTCATTTGGGTTACGTTCTCCCAGAGGAAAACTGGATCCTTAGAGGATTTCTCTTTCTAAGGAACATAGAAGAACATGCAAGGAGATTTAATATTACACACACAGCAGAAGACAGAAGAGAAATCCAATGGATAATGTGATTAAGAAACAGATAGAGACAAGTTTATATAAAATGACTTGGAGGAAAGTTATATATTTATTTATAGTGTCTTGCAAAAGCCTTCATATTGAACTTTCTCACATTTTGTCACGCTATAACGACAAACCTCAATGTATTTTATTGGTGATTTAGACCAGTTCAGAAGATGCATGACTTTCAATTTATTTTACAAATAAAAAACAGAAAAGTGCATTCAGCCCATTTTAATATGATACTCAGAAATGAAACATCTTTGGATTTCCACAAACTTAGCCTCCATGGGAGTGTTGCAAAAAGACAGCAATTCTTAAAAAGCCATAAGAAGACATGTTTGGAGTTTGCCAGTGGCAATACAATAGACACAGCAGGTTCTGGTCAGGTTCTTTAAGTTAAACATTAAATGTGACAAAAGAAAAAAAAAATGAACAGACCAAAAGTCTTTAGGAGGAATATTTTTTTTTTCTGTACTGTATATGTGAGTTATTGCCAAAATGATTTAGCAGGATTAAAATGTAACTGTTTCTTTTGCAGTTCCAATGGAAAATCTTGGGGACAGACTGAACGGAGCTCCAGACCAAACTTGTGGAAGAGGATGTCGTTCCACGTTAAGAAAAAAGACCCGGTCGAGGTGAATCAGACTGCCATCATCAAGCCATTTTCTAAAGGAGACACAACTGGGGAAAACAGTGTAACAGAGCAGTACGAAGGGCCACAGCTGTCTCAATCTTTTACCTGCTCACCCTCTCAGTCACCTCTGCCCACCATCAGTCCACGTGCAGCTAAAGCAAGAGGTCACCAATCAGATGACAGAGGTGAGGAGGTGCAGGTTTTACCATCCTATGCACCCGATTTCTCTTCTGGGGTCAGGCGGAGAGGTGGGGACAACGGCCAGATTGCTGCGATTGTAGAAGGTGGGGACATCAGCATCATTAGCGTGGGTGAAATCGGCCAAACTCAGGGTACCACCATCATGGACCAGATCAGCTGCGTTGTCAATCGTTTCACCGCCAACATCAGCGAGCTGAACACCATGATGCTGCCAGGAGGACCCGTCCTCCCGCCTTCCACCGCGGTACCGCCCGTTGCCTCAGATAACTCCCCGTGTCCGTCCCAGTACTTCAACAGGCAGACGCCTTCTACCATCACCACATACGCCGAAGTGACTGCCGTCTCCAACTGCTGCGACAATCGGCCGAAGATTTACGAGCAACTGGCTGGGACTTGCACGGGCGGCAGACGGGCAAAGAATCCGGAGGAGCTGATGGCTCTGACGCCTCCGTCCCCATTCAGGGATTTCTCCCTGAGCTCCGACGAGAGCTCGCCTCCCTCGCTGTCCCCGGCTTCTGAGGCCGAATGTGACCAGCTGCTGCTGAGACACTACCAGAGCTCCTCCTCTCTTTAGACCTCCTCTCTGCGTTTTGCTTTTGTCCGGAGTATTTTTATCTCCGTAAAGACAGCCATTTTTGCCAGGACCAAACTTTTCAATGCCTTTCTACATGTGGATATTGTGGATAATCAGTTGGTTTTTGTAAAGTTTTCAGATGGGACTGAATACGCTTCAAATGTCAGTTGGGGCTAGGATGTAGAAAAGAATACCGCTTATACAGGTAAAACGATTTCTTAAAGCAGTTCCAGTCAAACATTTATAATCACTAATAAGACACAAATGTCACATATTTGGGAATTTGAATCATTAATTTGAACTATTTCTTTACAGTAGCTGGCATATTGTTTTAATAAGATAACATGCGATTTTGTAAAACTAGAAACTTTCAATTTGTTATTTTTGTTTATTTTTTTTCATTTACACTGGATCAAAATTATATGCAGGATATTTACATTAGATTTTGCTTACATCCCCCAGTTAATAGCAATAATGCATCGAATTGCTGCTGTGGACTGTGACACTAATGTTCCAGCATCTTGCAATTTACAATCTTCTTGAATCTTGATGGTTCTTCTGTTGTTCCAAGAGTTTGGGTTAGATGGCTTTAACTTTGGCAAAATGTGTGTTCTCACAGGAAAATCATCATAAGCAGATGTCACAACTGGTTTTGTAACAGATACAAATAGGCATGTGTGCACTGTGAAGATGCATATATAATTTTTACAGTGCAGACCACACTACACAACTCTACAAGAAGTTTTAATTGCTGCACCCAGTGGTTGTTTTTACAGAATAGTTACCGTTATATGGAATACTGTTATTCCATCCTGGGAAAAGAAGGATGGAAATACATGAATAAAAGCCAAAAATGTACATGACATTTATGCCAATGATGACTATATCTAAACTTTTGACAGGAACCACACAATCACAAAACCTTAAATATTAAATAACATAAAATGTATTAAATAAACAAACAAAAACAAACCCAGAACTGAACTTAGTGATAATTTTAATGCGCTGAAAGCCAAGGGCATTTAAAGATTTTCTACGGCTTTGTCCTAAACATGTTTCCAACTCCAAAGAAAACACAGATGTTAAGCTGAAGACTATTTTATTTATAAGCTTTTAAATCACATCTTTCTTTATTCAAGTATTCTTTTTAAGTATTTCAGAAAATTAATTTAAAATTACACATGGATCTCATCTAAATCAGTGCGTGTATTGAATTGTTGTATTTCAGTTGTATATTTTTAGCTATTTACGATCACTGAAAGGATGACTTGTTTTTTTTTTTATCTTGTTGAGGAGTTTATGTATAATGATGTTTTGTTTTTATTTACCTACAAACCTCAGAAAAAAATTAAGTTTAAGATCAGAAATGACATTTTTTTTACTGACTCACTTACTCATTGGCAACCCTTACAGACAAAAAAAAAAGCATACAAAAACTGCAAATATTGCATTTTGTTGTGCATTCTCATCCTCCTTTCAGCAAATCCTCCTCTTCTGAGTGGAAAGAAGCTGTTTGCATCTCCAGGAAATACAAGCTACTGTCTCAGTGAACACAATCATCAGGAATGTAACCCACAAAGAGCTTAAAGACACCTTGGATGTTTTCTTCTGTCGTTCTTTATCAACATGACTTAGCTGAATGTATGATGAGGTAGGATTTGTAAGAAGACCAAAACTATTTTCCATCTCAGGATGCATCTGAAATAAATTGTTTCTGACTGCAACTCTTTCCTCCTGGATTAGTGAAGTTGCTGGTTTCCACTTTGCATGATCACTCTCTTTAAATGCATTAACTTTAAATATCTTGGAATTAGAATTTTATGGTTATTAGATACAGTAGCAAAGCCGTTATATAAGTAGTGAGCTTGATTGTTTTAAGGTTTAGTTTGAGCAAGAGAGAAGCAAACAGTGTTGAAAATGTGTTGGATTTTCTCGCCTTGCTGTGCCAGTCTCCTGCTGTGGATTGAGTTTTGTTTCTTTAAAATAGGTCACAAAATTTACATTTCTTTTGCCTGGTTCTTTCAGCTCACACAGTACTCTGTTTTGTTATGTTCTTTTTTTTTTCTGAATATTTGAAGTTCTAGATGAATGTTTGTATTCACAGACTCACAGCTTTTTAGCCTGTGAGACAAAACTGATATTTATGTTGCAGCTATCCTTTATGTGTTTATCTATTTCTTTATTTAAAGTTTGGCTTCAGTCCCTTATCTCTCTGTTAACATTTACACAGGCGATGATGTGTTTATATTCAGTATTTATTTATTTATTTTTTATTGAGTCATAATCTAAGTATACTCCTGGAAAGTTACCATATTTGCATGTACCTTTGTACATTTTGCAGACTAAAATGTGTGTTTGTGTTTGTAACTTATTGAAGATAGCCTGTATTTTTCTTTTATAAATTTCTGACAGACTTTTACTGCATTAAAGGAATCCACCTAAATTTAGCTGCACTGTTTTTGCTGTTACTTTCACCTTCTAGTACAACTTCATTTAAAAATAAAATCAAAGGGATGCAGATTATATATATATATTCAGACATAACTGGTTGCAAGTTTTTAAAATGTACCTAAAGCAACCAATTATTTCACATAGTAACTATTTATAATTAACAAACTGGAACATAAGCAATTTTTTTAACATATTTTTAGCCCTTGTTACTTAAGTGCACTGTCAGAAAAAGAACTTAATTGTGTCAATTCACTGTGCGACAACTATTAAGCATAATAGGAAATGGGGTTTCTAGGGCGCCCTTCATTAAATAACACATTATAGCTAAATATTTATGCGGAGCTTGCCCATGGTTGTATTTATGTCCCCACCAGCCCTGTAATATCTATTTTATTCAGTGCTCATTTTTACATTCTGCACTGATAATTCTTTGCAGCATTAGCGAATCCAAAAAATGATTCAGTCACATTATGTGACTGAATGTTTTTGTGACATTCAGTCACAAAAACATTCATTTGTGACTGAATGTTTTTGATATAATTGTCATTTGAATGGGGGCGGTGTAATGTAAAATTGACTTTTTACACCTTTACATCTTGTTATATTATTCTGTCAACAAAACCATGTCATGAGTGAAACTGATTCTTTCATGCATGTTTGAGAAATACTTGAAACTCCCATAGCAGCCATTCAGAGAGCTTAAAAAGTGCTTGCTCTCATCAAGCACCGCCTATTGTACAAAGCTCCTCTTTGCAGCTGCAGTCTCCAGTTGAGGTTCCACCTCACAGAACACCCCTCCTCCATCAGACTGGTAACAGTAAATAGCAAACACCTGCTGGAATTGCATGTCTGCTCCTAAGAACTGTTGTAAGCAGCATCACGGCATTGTTTTTGTGAAAGCCTGAAGGTTGAGTGTTGGAACGAGTGTCTTCTTAAAGAGAGAAAAGCCAATTTCAAGATATGATATATACTGCATTAAAAAAAAATCCAGAAGGTAAAATATTACCATGTTGACTTTATGAAATGGATGATTATCCCGCCCTGGGTGCCATTCATACTGCATTTGCCTCAGAAATAAAATATGAAGTAGATCCTGTTTAAATTCTTCAGATTGAGATTGCTTTCGTAATGAATGATGTACTTTATTTATAAGACATTTTTTTCCACAAGATTATGCTGAATTATTTCATTAAATTGTTTTATTCAGAGCTAAAACATAGACAACGTGGCAGAGCAGCTGTCACAATATTAGGAAGTAACATGACGTAGTAGCTGAAAAAAAAAAATAAAGTTAATATTGCGTTTGAGCGGGTGGAACCCCCGCCTTCAGCTGGCAGGGTGCACAGCTCTTCTCTTCAGCGTGGCCAGGCCAGGTCACAAGTTTCCAAGAACGGCCCCCTGAGCAACCTCACACTCGCGACATGGAGGGCGGTTCCTAAACCCGGGAGACGGAGACTCGAAACGCAGTTTAACCGTGTCAAAGTTCCTGGGAGCTGCCGCCCTGTGAGACCCAACAGGTGGAATGACGAACCATAACCTGCAACCCAACGGCATGCAGAGTCTCCGGAAGGAGCACCTGTACAAGGTGCTGGTCATCGGAGACCTCGGAGTCGGGAAGACCTCCATCATCAGGCGTTACGTTCACCAGACCTTCTCTAGTAACTACAGGGCCACGATCGGAGTGGATTTCGCCTTGAAAGTCTTGAACTGGGACTCTGAGACTGTCCGGCTTCAGCTGTGGGACATTGCAGGTGGGACAATTTAAGAAGCCAATTATATTTGCGGGGGGGAAGTACTACAGTGACAGCAGGTTGAGCACGTGCAGAAAGCTAGTAGTGATGGACGTGTATGTCACGCATTTTATGGTCTGACTGCTGCAGGGTTTTTATCATTTTAAAATGTTCATGAATAGGGAAACTTGGAAACTTAAAAATGTTTAGAAATGCCATCTCATTTCCTGGAGTGAAGCTGATAATTTGGGTAGATACCACTTATCTTCAAACTTACAGTGATCAGCCTTGTTAAGTTATGCAAGACAACCTAAATATGCGCAGTCATGAGGGAGCTGCTGTCTGTAAAGTAGACCAGCACACTGTTTCCTAATCATTTTTTTTAGGTATGATGTTACATCATGTGATCAGGTCCATGTGAGGGAGATTTAAAGGCAAGTCACAGGAATGTCATTGGAGCCTAAATAAAACAACAATAGATCCTCCCGTAGTTACACACACACTAGCAAAAATACACGTGTAGACAATGAATTACTTTACAAGTTAAATTTAAGTCACATTTACAGTGCACTGAAAAAAAGTGTTCACACCCTTTGAACATTACTGCTCTTTGTAATGTTGCATGTGTTTCACTGGAATTTTATGTGGCACACAAAGTAATGGCATCATTTTAAAGTGAAAAGAAAATGTTTTTAGAAATTCTGAAAAGGTTTCACAAATAAAATTCTGTATAGTTTTTTTATGTCTCCAACCTCCTCTACTCTGTTCCCTGTTAAAGTCAATTTCAACTGAGAAGTTTGTTACAAAATATTAGTGAACAAACAGCATCATGAAGGCCAAGGAACTCATCAGACAAGGCAAGGAAAGCAATTTTGTACTCTTTGAACATGTCGCTGATGTTTAATGCACCATCAGAATACTGACAGAGGATGGCGCAACTACAAACCATCTAACAGACAGGCTAGTCATAAAGCACTAATTAGAAAACAATTCTGACTTCATACCCATGTTAGCACTGAAATAGAGTAATTCAGTTCAGGAATATTTTATTAATCATCCAGGCATCATGCTGTGTGCATACTCCTCCTTTAGAGGGAACAGGGAAGCTGGTCAAAGTTGATGGAAAGATTGATGGAGCTACAGGGCAGTTTTAGAAGAAAACCTGTGAGAGTCTCAAACAGAGATTCACCTTCCAACTTCAATATTACACTTGGTTGTAATGTGACAAAGTGTGGAACATTTTAAAGGATAGGAAGCCAATGTCAAGGCATTGTATTCTAACTCTTAGATGAGTACATGAGACAAACCTCTTTTAGTCAACACGGATATGTTTTATAGAATCAGTTTTGCAGTATTCAAGCAGAAACTTGCGTCATCAAATGACTGTGTGTCGAGTCACAGTCATTTGTATGATGGCAGTGTGTGTCTAAGACTGCTGTCATGCCACTGCAGACAGCATTTCCTTATGAGTAAAACAATGTCTTGGATGAAAGGAGGAAGTTGTTCTTCCACTGACAGTCAGATTTACGTTCCTTCCTGCTCGTGATGGCAACAAATTGCCATCTTGCAATGCTTAAAGTACTAACTCCTCTCTTCTTTATATTTCTGTGGAGGTTTCCAGTTATCAGCAAGCTGGATACACACTTAACAACCTCTGCTGCAGATTAAGTATTCACATTAATGAGGTAGAAACTAAGGGAATCTACACATGGCAATAATTTAAAAAAAAATATCTTGATAATAAAGTTAAATACTACCTACAGACAAGTATTATTGTTTATTCTGAGCAGGAACAAGTAGTTGCATTGACATTTTAATTGCAACGTGATGGTAAGGCTACAGGAATGTGTTATTTCATCGGAATCCAGGCACAGATGACTGCTGTCTTGTTGCCAGCTGCCTTAGATATACTTCTGGGAAAAAATGCAGAAAAACAATGAAAATGTCTCATCATAGGGATGCTCTGGAATGCCGAAGTGCTAAAGCATGACTCTGTCTGTGCATGTGCTCGTCACAGGTCAAGAACGATTTGGGAACATGACGCGCGTGTACTACCGCGAAGCCATGGGCGCCTTCATTGTGTTCGATGTGACGCGGCCAACCACCTTTGAGGCCGTCATTAAGTGGAAGGAAGACCTAGATTCGAAAGTAATGTTGGCTAATGGACAGCGCATCGCTACTGTGCTGCTGGCTAATAAGTGTGATCAGGGCCGGGAACTGAGCAACAATGGCATCAAAATGGATCAGTTCTGCAAGGACCATGGCTTTGTTGGTTGGTTTGAGACGTCAGCAAAGGTGAGACTTGGGAATACTTAAGATTTTCTGTTTCAGTATGTGGAACTTGGTGGGTCATTGAGTGACATCAATCCTCTGATTGATCCAACTCCAATTCAACTCGTACTCAGATTTGGAAATTTAGTGTCACATAATGATCCATGCATGAGCCACATAAACAGGAAATATATTTTTTGCATAAATCTATGTGAGAGATCATTTTGCACTTCAGAAGCCATTACCTGGTGTTCTTCAGTGAACCATTCAACCAGCCTGTTGCAAATCTGGGGTGCATTATAAAAGCATTCATCCTTGTATGAACTTTATTTTTTTCCATGTTAGAACCAAAAACTTCAATGTGATTTCTTTCTTTCTAAAACTACACATTAGGCTTCATACGATGTATCAAATGATCTGAAACATTGTGTCTTAAGAACAATGCTAAGCTTGAAGCATAGCAAAATAGACAGGATCAGGATCTTGTCATTGTTACAAGATTCAATCTGGCTTGCAAGTAAGAAGATTGTGGAAATGTGAAAACAGGACCTGATTCCAGATTCCTTATCCAGGTAATTGGTGCTATTGAATTAGATTGCAGATTTAATCAAAAAACCCCCACAGTTTTTTTTTTTTTTTTTTTTTTTTGGTAGAGAAATCTTTTTCTCGCTGTTCTGTCTGTAACCAGGATTAAACTGATCGCCTGGATGATGTTGCTATTTCATTGAGCTTATTATTTCACATTTGGCTGTTTGAAAGGTGAAATGCATGGTTGTTAAAAATTTATTGGAGATAAACAACTTTCAAATAACTTTGCCACAAACCTGATCAAATAGCACATTCTGATTATTGTGAGGCTTGAGTTGGAAAAGTCAACTTAGTTTGAAAATAAAATGTATGTGGAAAAAGTTTCTTTAGAGACTTCTGTCTTTACCTTTTGTCACATGTTTTGGTGTAAATGTAAATGACACTTTTATCAGTTAATTATGTAATTT